CCTGCCACACAATGACGATGAGTGACAATGTACGAAATAAAAGGACCGAAGAAGATCCCTCTTTGCTCACCAAGCCCTAAAGCAAGACTTCATAGCACTTTGGTCTGATGAAGGCTGTTCTCCCATCGTTAAAAAGCTGTTTTAGCAGACTGGTCATTAAAATATGGCAAGCACTGGCTGACATGTCCATCCAGAGGCAGGCTACTTGCCTCATCATGTTCTTTAATCATCGGGTGGAAAGAGAGCATCCCACACTGGGGTCACTTTCAACGAGCTGCACTCTGAATGGTCTGAAGAGAGTCCAATTAAATCCTACATTTTCTGACCCAAGAGCGACTATGTGATGGAATCTGAGAGCTGCTGCTGGATGGATTGAGCAGAAAGAGAGCGAGAGTGATTGCAAGCCTTCATCCCCAACATACATAGTCACATGCATGCATAATTTCTGTATGCATCAGTGCATAACCACAGAAAAACTCGCAAAACATTCTCCCCGGGCCACCTCTGTAAATAATGTGTTCTTATTTAACTTGCTTGGTTAAATAAGCATTCAGAAGGAAAGAAAGAAGAGTGGGGCAAAGCATCTAGAATCAGATACAAACAGCAGGAGAGAAGCAGTTATAGGAAACGAGAAAGCAACAATGTCAGGACTCTTAATCCCTAGGACACATGAGTTATCAATCTGTTGTAAATGTCAAACGCGGGGATATGCCCCTGTGAACGATGGATATCTGCCTTGTTTGTTTGTGTGTGCACATTTTTTTTAAAATTCATCTTTCCTACATTGTATTATTGAGTAAGCCCCACAAGAGCTTAGAGTCTATCTTGAGCGGCAATACTCTCTTCATAGAGCCATCAGTACCTGAATCCCAACAACCTGAGCGGAGGTGGTGCAGCAGAGGAAGGCAAAGAATGAGAAGATTGTCATCCTGAGACTGTCACTGTCTCCTGATCCATGTTCAGAGTACATATGTTTGAGCATATATACTCTGAACATGCCTGAATGAGAGGTCGAAGGGACACAGTACAAGAGTTCCACTTTGTGCAGTGTGTGATGAAGCTTTGAAGTGTGAAGAAAGAGGACAACCCTCAGTCAAGTTCATCATGTTTCCATTTTCATTTTCTAGCAATTTTCCAGGCTCTACTTCAGCGAGGAACCCCTGGAGCAACAGCAAGGACCCATGGTGCAAACTCCTGACCCCACTAAATGTGCGTTTGAATCAAAGTGACAGTAATGTACACGTTAATCTCCTGGAGAAACTAGGTTTTCTTTTAGAATAGTTTAAAAAAAAGCAACCGACTTTAGCAAAACAGCATAAAAAATAAAACACCCGGCAGCTCTGTGATAGGTGTGTAAAAATGAAAGGAAGAATGCCTAAGGTTACAGTAGACTCTCTTTCTGGGCACCGAGTCTCCACAGAAATATTACAGGAGATCTTGTGGGATTATTGCGCTGAGAATTTGACTTGTGAAAAACAGATAATAAAAAAAAGAAGATAAACGCCACCGATTCCCTGTGAACTGCCACACTTGGCTGGTGCTTCCCTCGGCTCAGGCTGCATAATTCTCAGAAAACCAATTAATTTTCAGCATTTGATACTTTACCTCTCTGCGCCCGCTCTAATCGTTGCATTTCAATATGTATGTATTTGTTTGCCGCGCTTGTTTGCCGTGCAAAGTTTAGTTTCCTGCAGGGAAGAGTGATTAATTATTTTGTACTTATTAATCAGCTTAACATTTCAACAGCTTGGCTCGTAATGGCACGTGACATCAGAGGGGCTCATTACACATGTTCAAACTGTAAAACAAAAAACAGCAGTATAAAATAAATAAGAGTATTCGTTAAAACGGTCTTTTTTGAAAACTTGAGAAGCCTTAAATGTGTCTCATTAGATTCTAGACTTCACCCACATCGGTGTGGATGAACTCAATGAAGTTTGATATACGTTAAGTGTGGGGGAAAACTAAGCCTATTTTAAATGTTTATTAAAGCGCAAACGTGAGAGTGGTGCCACATTTAACAGAGCTCAGCATCTCACTGATGTGAAGCCTAAAGAGAAAATTGTGGGCTACGTGCAAAAGGATGAAGACTGCAAAAATCCGGTGCCACACCACACCGGAAAGGGTTCCATATTAACATCTAACACAGCAGGTAGCTACAAACACCAATGGGCCGGTGTGATCGGTTCATCGGTACAGTGGCGATCCAGCACTCTTCTTACCTTGAGGTTGTGCGCAGTGGATGAGTAAGGAAAAAAATAAAATCCATGCGACGCGCCACATCGATCTGTTAAAGGAGTCCTCAAACATGGTCCCAAACCGGGAGGACTGGACAACAAGTGCCCGGTGAGCTTTAAGCATGCCGTAGTGGCCGAGTCCCGCCGTGGCTGTGGTGCCGTTCGCCTGCTGCTTGATTCTCTCTGTCAGGAGGACCTGCGACCACTAAAGTCGAGCAGAGCGCACCGACCCCGGAGCGCAAAACCAAGCCTCTGCCGTAGCCTGTGGCGACCGGAGAAATTCGGTCAAACTGTGTGTTTGTTTTACAGTCTAAGTTCGCTGCAGTTCCACGAGCCTCGTTGATTGTAAAATATTTCCGTAGGAGTACCGAAACAGAGCGCGTTTGTTTATCTGAAGGATGCAACTCAATCAGATGAATCCAGGTTAAGTCCAAGTACAAGACAGTCTGTCTCTTGCTGCACCTGTAAGAAGGAAAGCTGCACCTCATAGAACACCTTTCCCCACTTACACGTCGTGCGTCCTTGAGATGCTGGTTTGTTCTTTTTCTTCGTCTTCTTCTCTTTACTTAACTTCCTCCTTCGCCTTGTCCCCGGCGGAGTGCTTAGGTGTTTTTGTTCTTTCTCTTTTCTTCTTCTCCAAAGCACAGAACAGACTTTTCCTCGAATCCTTTCCTTTCTGAAGAGGAGCGCCACAAATGGAGCACACCCCCCGTAAAGTTCCTCCCCAGAGCGCACCGTCAAGGTCGCCAATTTGCTTTGACAGGAGCGGAGAAGAACTACAGCAGTTCGCTGAGCGGAGAATGGGGGGCGGTGGGGGGAGAAACTTGCATGCAGTCACAGGACGAGAGTGGGAGCCGTGCCGTGGAGGAAAGCCCGGTTGCCGGTGCCTCGGATGAGGACGAGTCCCGGGTTCTTCGTGAGGTAAAGCTGGGATCTGATACTTCAGCAGCAGCGCAGCGCATGATGCCACCATGCGGCCATGCGCAAAAACACATCTCCTGTTACAATACAGCCAAGCACATGGTTTCAGGAGAGGATTTTATTGCTTTCCACATTACACAAAGGTGGAATGAATATAGTCCTTTGTTAAAATGATTTAAGGAGCATGCGTCCGGCTTGTGCTGCCAAGAATGTAGTGGTTCTTAGGGTGCCTGTGGAGAAATCACTATGATATTTCTGCGGGGATTTATAGGCTAATGTGTCTGAGTTTACTGACCTTGTAGTACTTTTTATCCCCCGTGGTATCATTAGAGGGATTTATATTTTGGCTGCATTTTAATACTTTGAGCTATGATACTGTATGTTTTTGTAGCACTTTCTGTATTGCTCTTTTCCTTTTTTCGCTGAGGCTACAGGATGTAATTCTCGATGCTATTTGAGGTGCATGGCATGAATATAAAAGGCGCAAATGGGTGTGCTAAGTCGTTACACAGCCAAGACTGAAACTGCTGCATGTTATCTTCTCTGTGTGTAGGAGAAGGAGGAAGACAAGGAGGAGGAGGCTGTGAATCGTTGGAAGACAGAAGGAGGAAGAGCAGAGAAGGGTGGTTGGTGAGCAAATGTTTCCAAAATGACAGTATCAGTAAAGTGGAAGTCAAGGAAGAGAATGAGAGAGCCTGACTGAGCAAATGTTCATGTCCTGAAAATGACAGTGCCTTGCCAGGAGAAAACAGGAGTGCTTAGTGTCTGTAATGTTTTGGGTTTTTTTTGTTGTTGTTTTAACAAATGGCGAGGCCCATCTAAGCCACCACAGGGCAGCTTGGAAATAATGCACCATGATAATAGCTTCTGCTATTTCCGCACAAGAGTTTCAGCTTCCTTTTGGCTTTCTCCTTCTTATTCAAAAATGCGATACCTTGCACAAAGTTAATAATAGGAGAGTTACCATCATGAAAATCAAGATTGAGTGCTTCCCTGGCCAGCCTTAGGGCATCTCAGGAAACCAGTTATGATTTTTCAAGTATTTACTGTGACTGAACTCAGCAAGAGGGTAATTTTGAAAATCCCTGGACACAGTATTTTGAGCCATAGCTTTCTGCAGACAAGTGGTAATCCATTTGTTTGTGTGTTTGTGTCTGTGTGTGTGTGTGTGTGTGTCCACCCCGCACCCCTCCTTTCCCTGCAGATGCCAACAATGCCAGGTGTTAGCTCCTGGTGTTGTTGAGCAACGGCTAGCTGTGATCACAGGTGCTAAAGTAGCTTAGTGCAAGCTGTACTCACTTCAGAATGAGACATGTTGTTTTTAACTAGCCCAAGTAGTAACCATGCAAATGGTAATGTTGATCAAGAGTTAGTCGGGTGCAGTAATTTCAAGTTATACCAATGTTTAAAACACACAGTTAAATGGCATTTTTGGAAAAAAAGGAGTTAAGAGAGTTAGAAAAGAATCAAAAATGTGCAGTAAGTGGAGAAAACGCATTCAATTTTCTCTAAATGACCAAAATGGTATCATTGCAAGTTCTCAAATGCATGTGTGTGTGTGTACATGTTTAGACAGCTTTGTGAGGACAGAAAATTGGCATGCTACTATACTTGTGGGGACCAACAGTCACTTATGAGGAAAAAATGCCCGTCCCCACGAGTTTGAAGGCATTTTTGAGGTGGTTTCACTGTCAGGGTTACAATTAGGTGTGGTTAGGTTTAGGCTGAGGGTTACGATAAGGCATTCATTTTTGATGGTTAGGGTTAGCGGCTTGGGAAGCATTATGTCAATGCAATGTCCTCACTAAGATATGAAAACAAGTGTGTGTGTGTGTGTGTATGTGTGTGTATCTCTGTGTGTGTGTGTCTTACCATTGTTCCTCACAACTGATTTTCATTCATTTTTTGTTTTGCAGAATGATTGGACATTATTTCAAGTGATAAAATGCATGATTGGGAGCAAAATGCCTTTAAAACACATTAAAAAAAAACCCCAAATGGTAAGTTTTGGGTTATTTTTGGTGATGTGTTCACACCTTTTGCTCCACAGCTTATCAAAGAGCACATTTTTTGTTACCTATTTCAATCTGAACCTTTGAGTGTGAAGTGCAGCATTGACCACTCTTTTCATTTAATTTCAATGAACAAAATAAAAGACAGGCTTCTAAGCTCAAATTTCCACCTCTCTTTTCGGAGGCCTTAAGGAAAGCAACACATTAAAAGAAAAAAAGAGATGGAGAGACATCGTTGAATGACAAAAGGCATTGCTGTTTGCTCAGACCAAAAGTCTGACTGGCAGTTCTGACTTTCACCTGCATTTGGCAAGAACTTGAAAAGCACGACTACATATAGGTGGAAAAAAAAAAACACAGCAAAAGCTTAAAAAGTGAAGTGATATCAGAGGAATTTTCTATTATGCCCAGATGGAAAGAGAGCAAGGTCAGAAAACCAAGAGGAAGATAGGCTGGAGGGAAGACTCTTGAATGCTTCAGAAAGGTCCCTGAACTCCACCTCCTCCTCCACACACACACACACACACACACACACACACAAACATTTCCTCCTCTGCTGTCCTGATATAGAACTAACCGATATAGAACTAACCCCAGTGATAACTGGAGAGTACTACTGGATTCATTAACCTCCAACAATATTTTCGTATGGGATAATATAGCCGTTGGTCCTGGACGTTGTAGGGCTGTCTTGGTTGACACGCCTCTGCAATGTTGCGTGGAGATCAGGGGCAGTACCCGTGGACTGGCAGACCGGGGTGGTGGTCCCCATCTTTAAGAAGGGGGACCGGAGGGTGTGTTCCAACTACAGGGGGATCACACTCCTCAGCCTCCCCGGGAAAGTCTATGCCAGGGTGCTGGAAAGGACAGTTCGTCCGCTAGTCGAACCTCGGATACAGGAGGAACAATGCGGTTTTCGTCCTGGTCGCGGAACACTGGACCAGCTCTTCATCCTCTCGAGGATACTTGAGGGTGCATGGGAGTTTGCCCAACCAGTCTACATGTGTTTTGTGGACTTGGAGAAGGCATTCGACCGTGTCCCTCGGGGTGTCCTGTGGGAGGTGTTGCGGGAGTATGGGGTGTCTGGCCCATTGCTACGGGCCATTCGATCCCTATACAGGACACGCTGGAGAGATTATATCTCTCGGCTGGCCTGGGAACGCCTTGGTGTTCCCCCGGATAAGCTGGAGGAGGTGGCTGGGGAGAGGGAGGTCTGGGCCTCTTTGCTTAGGCTGCTGCCCCCGCGACCCGGCCTCGGATAAAGCGGATGAAGATGGATGGATGGATGGATGGATAATATAGCTTGTGAAATGATGACACGTAAGGAAAAAAAAAGTAGAAAAGTAGAGCAGCAGATCCAGGTCTTTAAAGGGTTTACAACTATTTATGAAACATTTCTCACACCATTAATATTTCTCTGTCAGTTAGAGCTTGGATAGGCATCAAAGGAATATGGATTTTCTTAACCAAAAGGAAAGCTCCATCCTCTCCTGGCCAGTCTTGCTGGAGGTTTAATGAACTGGAACAAGTGGGGGATAATGGGAATGCAAGCACAGCGGGAGACCAATGGGGTGATGAGTGGTTCTTATTACCTGTGAGGCCAATTACAATAAAGATCTGTCAAAATTTCCCTTTGATAGAGGAAGGCCCTGCTGACCATCTGAACCACCCCAGTCAAAGAAACACAATATAGAGAACAGAATAGTTTAGATGAATTATTACGTTCATTTAGGTTCAGGCCAGTTAAAGTCTTGGAATCTTTAGGAACTTGCCTATAAGCAGTCTTAGTCGTACTCAAACTACATGTCGGGTTTTGTTGTTTGTTTTTTGACACACACGCACACACAGAGTATATAAATATTTTAATGAGTTCAGAGATGAAATTCATATGCATGTACCACCTACCGCAGTCAAACAACCTTGCAGTCTAATTACTGTTCTCATAGAATAATGACATCCTGGGCTCACTATGCTTAATAAATAAACTGCTACCCTTGAGTGAAATTTTCATTCGTACATTACTGCAAAGGTTGTGATATCTATCTATCACATTTACAAGGCAAGATGAGGAGGCAAAAAGGGTAACATTGCATTGCATTTCTTAAAAACAACTAATATTTGAAAAAAAAAAAAGTCATTCTAATTTATGTAAGAATCTTTAATCATAGGCATCTTCGCAGATGGAGAGGAGTAAAAGAAAAGAAATCCGATAGTATTCATTAGTGTGAGAGAGAGATCATTCAAAAAGCTGTTTGTGTGAGACAGATGGTCAATATGGAAAAGAAATATGTAAAGCAGAGCTGTGCCAACCTTGGCAAAGGAAGGCTTGCAACGCAAAAACAAAGGTAAAAAACGTAGGTGGGGAACTTGTGAAAGAGAGAAAAAAGAAGCAGAGAACTGACTCAGGCAAAGAGGGGTTTGAGGTACAAACACAAGGAACAGGTGAAGTGTGCTAACAAAATATTAGTCTGTTTGTTGTTTTTGATTTTCCTGCTTATAAATTAATATCTCCTGCCTCACAGGAAATACACCACCTCCCCTTCTCTGCACTGCTTCATATCTTCCACATCTACTAAAAAGCCTGAATGTTTTGTGGTTTTCTTGCTTAGTTTATGGATATAATCACGCAGCACCCGTGAAAAGATTGCAGTTGACTGCATCAGCCTCTGATTCACATATGCGCTTTGCTCCCTTTCTCACTCTCACGCTCTCAAGAGAGTAAGCTCTGAGTAACATCAGTTTACATGGTTGGTTCACCCAAAATCTCCCCCTAAAGATAGCCTGCCTTAGAGTATAATGTCATCTACCTTTATTTAAAAATATATAGAATATGGTTGTATTCACATCAGCTTTGCAAATAACCTTGTAGCAGTTGCTACACTTAATAAAAAAGTACCTTGTTGAGCAAACTTTGTGGGGTTTTTTTGTTTTGCTTTTTGCAATCCCCACAGAGAGGGCAGTGGACTTTTTAACCAGATTG